ATTGTTGTATGTACCACTGGTGTGCTCCTTTTTATTGCTAAGTAGATTTTTATTATATGAATAAACCTCAATCTGTTGATTCTTCTATTTGATAGACATTTGAGTTGTTTTCTGTGAACATTCTTATACAAAGCTTCTTGTAGACATAATTTTTTTATTCTTTTTGGGTAAATACCTAGCAGTAGAATTGCTGGGCTATAGGTTAAATGTGTGTTTAACTTAATAACTAATAATTTCTAAAAAATGGGACTATTATTTTATTAGGCTGGTGCAAAAGTAATTGTGGTTCTTGCAACTTAAATTTAAAATAATTGCAAGAACCACAGTTACTTTTGTACCAGCTTGATACATTTTTGCCAGCAATGTGTGCAAGTTTTAGTTGTTTCACATCCTTGCCAACATTTGGTGTTGTCCTTTTAATTTTATCTATTCTAACAGGTGTGAAATGGCACCTCATTATGATTTTAATTTACATTTCCCTGATGGCTAAGACTTTGAGTGACTTTTCCTATGCTTATTGGCCATTCTTATATCTTCTTTTGTTAAGTGTTTATTTCACTCTTTTGTCCATTTTTAATTGGCTGTCTTGATTACTGATTTGTAAGAATTCTTTATAGTCAGATAGGTGCTTTACAAATATTTCTCCCAGTCTATGGACTGCTTTATTATTTTTCTAATCGCACGTTTGTTAAGATTAACAGGTATTTCTCATTTTGGTAAAGTCTAGTTTATTCCTTTTTAACTTTATGATTAATTCTTTTTGTGTCTTCTCTAGTGAATATTTGTCTACCCCAAGGTTGCAAGAGATGGTCCTATGTTTTCTGCCATAAGTATTACGATTTCAGCTTTTATATTTACTGTGATCCCCCTTAATCTTTTGTTTATAGGAAGTAGGGGATGAGATTGATTTTTTTTTCCTATGCTTATTCAATGTTCCATAGCACCTTTGTTTAAAAAACTTTGTTTTCTGCACTGATTTGCCTTGATTCCTTTGTCAAACATTAATTTGCTGTATATATGTAGGACTATTTATGGTGCATTTTATTCTGTTCCATTGTTCTATTTTTTTTTTTTTTTAATTCCCATGACCACACCATATTGTCTTAATTATGTAACTTAATAGAAACTTTTGAAATCTGGCATATTTCAAGATTGGCTTATCACTTCTAGATTCTTTGCTTTTCTATATAAATTACAGTATCAGCTTATTAATTTCTACAGAAAACAAAAGCCTTTGGGGCTGTGATTGGGAATCTCAAATTATTTACCCATTTGGGAAAAGCTGACATTTTAACAATGTGGAATCTTCCAGTCCATGTACATTTTTTTACTTACTAGTTCTTCTTTATCATAGCAGTGTTTTGTGACTTCAGGGTTGGGTCTTGCACATTTTTGTTTATTTCATCCCTAAGTATTTTATTTTTTTTTATGCTATCAATAAAATATTTAAAAATTTTGTATCTCAATTGTTTGGGGCTAACACATAAAATTTATGTTTACACTATGCTGTAGTCTGTTAAGTGTGAAATAGCATTATGTCTAAGAACGAAGTATGTACCTTAATTAAAACATAATTGCTAAAAAATGCTAATGATCATCTGAATCATTAACATTAACCAGCAAGCCATATCTTTTTGCTGGTGGAGGGTTTTGCCTCCATGTTGATGGCTGCTGACTGATCAGGGTGGTAGTTACTCAAAGTTGGAGTGACTGTGACAACTTCTTAAAATAAGACAACATGAAGTTTGACATATCAATAGACTCTTCTTTCATGAATGATTCTCTGTATCATGCGATGCAGTTTGACAGCATTTTACCCACAGTAGAACTTCTTTCAAAATTGGAGTCAGTCTTTTCCTTCAAACCTTGCCACTGTTTTATCAACTAAGTTTATGATAGTATAAATTTTTTGTTGTCATTTCAACAATGTTTATAGCTTCAATGCCAGAAGTAGATTCTATCTCAAGAAACCATTTTTCTTGCTCATCTATAAAATACAACTCCTCATCCAGTCCAGTTTGATCATGAGTTGACAGCAATTCTGTTACATATTCAGGCTCCACTTATAATTCTAATTCTCTTGCTCTTAAAACCATGTCTGCAATTACTTTCTCCATTGAGTCTTGCACCCCTCAAAGTTATCCAAGAGGGTTGGAATCGGCTTCTCCCAGACTCCTGTTATTGTTAATATTTTGACCTACTCCCATGGATCATGAATGTTCTGGATGGCATTCAGAATGGTGAATCCTTTCCAGAATGTTTTCAATTGATTTTGCTCAGATCCACTGGAAGAATCAATGTCTGTGGCAACTCTAGCCTTATGAATGCATTTCTTAAATAATGAAACTTGAAAGATGAAATGATTCCTTCATCTATGGGCTACAGAATGGATAATGGGTTTGCAGACATGAAAGTATTAATCTCCTTGTACATGACCATCAGCACTCTTGGGTGACCAGGTGCATCACCAATGAACAGTAATGTTTTGAAAGAAATATTTTTTTCTAAGCAGTAGGTCTCAAGAGTGGACCTAAAATATTCAGAAAACCATGCTGAAAACAGATGTGTTGTCATCCAGGCTTTGATGTTCCATTTATAGAACACAGGCAGAGTTGATTTAGCATAATTCTTAAGGGCCTCAGGATCTTCGGAATTGTAAATGAGTATTAGCTTCAACTTAAAATTAGCAGCTGCATTAACCCCTAATAAGAGAGTCAGCCTATCCTTTGAAGCTTTGAAGCAAGGCATTGACTTCTCCTCTTTATCTGTGAAAGTCCTAGATGGCATCTTCTTTTAACACAAGGCTGTTTCATCTATGTTGAAAATCTGTTGTTTAGTATAAACCACCTCCATTGATGATCTTACCTAGAGCTTCTGAATAACTTGCTGCAGCTTCTCCATTTAGCATTTCCTGCTTCACCTTGCATGCCTGTGTTCTAGAGATGGCTTCTTTCCTTAAACATCATAAACCAATTTCTGCTGTCTTCCAACTTTTCTTCTGCAACTTCCTTGCCTCTCTCAGACGCCAAAAATTTGAAGAGAGTTAAGGCCTTACTCTGGATTAGATTTGGGCTTAAGGGAATGTTGTGGCTGGTTTGATCTTCTATCCAGACCAGTAAAACTCTTCATATCAGCAATAAGGCTCTTTTACTTTCATATCATTCATGTGTTCACTGGAGTAGCACTTTAAATTTCCTTCAAGAACTTTTCCTTTGCATTCTCAACTTAGCTGTTTTATGCAAGAGGCCTAGCTTTTGGCTTACGTGGCTTTTCACATGCCTTCCTTACTAAGCTGTGTCATTTCTAGCTTTTGATTTAAGGTGAGAGATGAAGGACTATTCTTTTCACTTGAACACTTATGAGACCATTGTAAGACTTGGCCTAATTTCAATATTGTTGTGTCTCAGGGGATTTGGAGGCCTAAGGAGAGAAAGGGAGACACTAGAAATGGCCAATCAGTGGAGCAGTCATAACACACACATTTATCGATAAAGTTCACTATCTTATATTGGTACAGCTCATGGTGCTCCAAATTAATTATAATAGCAACACCAAAGGTTGCTGATCACAGAGCACCATAACAGATAGAGTAATAATGATAAAGTTTGAGATATTGTGAGAATTACCAAAATGTGACAGAGAGACACAAAGTGAGCACATGCTGTTGGAAAAATAACTCCAGTAGACTTGATTGACTCAGGGTTGCCACAAACCTTTAACTTTTTTTTTTTAATTAGTATCTATGAAGCATAATAAAGCGAAGTGCAGTAGAGTGAGGTATGCCTACATGCAGAAGTATAACTGATTTTTTTGTATATTGACCTTATATCCCATGACCTTGCTAAATTAACTTATTAATTTTAGTAGTTGTTTTGTAGATTTCTCGCAATTTTTTTTTTTTTTGTAAATTTTTTTGCAGATTTCTGACAAGATCTCATGATTTTTCACCTGACAGTTGTCATCTACAAATAAAGACAGCTTGACTATTTGGTATGGAAATGTATAAGAAATACACGAGCTATGTTTAAAGATAAAGAGGCCAGGCACAGTGGCGTAGTGCTATAATCCCAGTATTTTGGGAGGCCAAGGCAGGTGGATTGCTTGAGTACAGGAGTTCGAAACCAACCTGGGCAACATGGTGAAACCCCGTCTCTACAAAAAATACAAAAATTAGCCAGGCATGCCTGTAGTCTCAGCTATTTTGGGGGCTGAGGTAGGAGGATCACTTGAGCCTGGGAGGTCTTGGGAGGTCAAGGCCGCAGTGAGCTGCGATTGTGCCACTGTACTCTAGCCTGGGCAACAGAGTGAGACCCTGTCTATAAAATAAAATTAAAATTAAAATTAAAATTAAAATAAGGAGACCAAAAAGCAAAAACACACACACACAAAACCCATAATTTAAAAATAAAAAGAGCTCTTAATGTTCCTTGAAAGAGACCTTATTGAGAATATAGTTGCTAATTTGAATCTGGCCAAGTATGTAATTCCTCCATTACTTTGTCTTTTCTATCATTTTTTTGTTTTTTCTTATCTCTTTGAGAGTGCTGTCTGCTTTGATTCAACCTTCTTAACTGGGATTACTGTGAATTCTTTTTTTCTTTATGGATACCTAGAAGTAATTGTCACCTTTGATAGCAGTGATATTCTCTCGGTGACTTTAGCAATCTACTTAATTTCATTGTGCCTCAGTTTCTACATCTATAAAATGATAGAATTTTACCATATTATTTTCTCAGAGCTCTTTCAAACTTGTTTGAGCTCTTCATCTTACCTCACCGTACATCAGGGACAGGCAGGCAGGTACAAAAAGGGTGTTTTAGAGCTTTATTTTTAGGATTTATTGTATTTCCTGTTATTTTATTGTGACTATGCTAGAGAATTGAAAATCAATTGAGTTCATTGTCAATTCTATGTATCCTCAAGGTTTGTATTTATATCTGAGGCCCTTTGTTGAGTTTACTGTTAACTCATTTACATTTTTCTATAACTTATATTTCTAGGCTTCATAGAGCCCAGTGTGCAATTAAACAGACTCAGGTAACTGTTCAGAAAATTGGAAAGGAAATTGAAGAAAAACTAAGACTCACATCTACAAGCAATGAGCTGGTAGGTTTTTACGTATTTACCTGTTTATGCATCTTGTTTTCTAAAGGAGAGTATAGTATTCTTCTAGGGTCAATTTTGAAAAACCCTGTAGATAGTTGTTATTATCTTCTTAATGTTTCACTGAGAGTTCTATTGGCATTTAAATGTTGGAAATAAACTTTCCCATCTGCTAATATTGTAACACACAAAGTGCCTGCTTTATTCTGCTAGATGAAACTTTATATTACATACAAATACTTAGAAGATAATTAAAAGGCAGTTTTCTTAATGTGAACTCTAAACATGAACTATATAGTGAATGAAAAATAGCTGCCAGGAGGAGAAAAAATAAACTATGGGAGCTAATTTACTTTTGAAAGATGAATTTAAAAAGTATTTGGATTGAGCAAAATAGACTGGTTTGTAGACAGTGATCCCTTTTGGGAAATACTCTATTAAGGAGGCATTTCCAAAGAAATAGAAATCCTAACCCAAATGGACAGATTTAAGATTTAGTGTAATTTTGAGTTGTTTTATACCCTTCCTAGTGGAGCAGAAAAAAAGTCTATTTTTGTAATGAATATTGTGTTTTTGTAAGTACAATAGTGGATATGGCTAATAAATTGAGCTTTTTTTTAAAGCCACTTTGGAATGAATAGATTTTGAGTAACTTTGTGCTGTGGCTTAGACTTAAAATAAAATTTAGATCTTTAAATTAAGTTCTAGATAAAATTATTTGAGTATTTGTTTGTGTGAACTCATTATCACAGATAGGCAGCATCTTCCTGTTGTCATCTGCAGCTTTCTCAGCTTAGCAGAGGGCCTTTACATCACCAAAGAAAAGCTTTTTGTTGCCTTGAAGATTTGCCCAAGATAATCATATAGTGGAAGTATAGAAAAGCAGCAATGCATGTAACCTCACAGAAACTTTTCTCTCATGGAATTTGAAATTAATGTATTAGTTCAAACTGTATACAATTGCTGATTTTGACCTATAAATGGCAGTTTCATATGGTTCAACCTAATATATAACAGCTAGTGCTATACCTGGCACGTAGCAAGCATACAAAATATGGTAGCTGCTGTAACTATAGTGGTAATTCTTATTATTCATGTGACTTTCCTTGTCTATAGAAACATCTTCCATTTAAGGTACTATTAAACCACCTCTTGTTGTAACTTAGACCCAATAAAGGACTAAATTTCAAACCATAAATATATTGAAGGGGAGGGAAAAAAATCACTAATTTTAATTCTTTCTGTAGTATATAAAAATGCTAGATTTTTAGAACCTTTGGAAAAAATTGCTAGGTTTTATTTTTATTTTCCTCTCCCAAGGCAAGACTGAGAAATTACTTGTTTCATTAAATGACAGCATGTACTTTATCTCAGTGTGGAAAAATGTATTTTTAATCCTGTTAAAAAAAAACATCTAAGTGGTGACACAGAGCAAAGTAATAGTATGTGTGAGTTTAAAGTGGTCAAGTTCAGAGGTTCGCTGTATGTTATTCTGCCTCATCAACAGAAGAAAATCATTGGATTTTTGAACGGAATGTGAACCTATAACCCCATTTAAAACTACAGCCCCCTCAGTACATTCTGTCTCCTTTCCTGCTTTACTGTTCTCTATCATATTCATGATCGTTTACCATGGTATATATTTCACATATTTTTCTATCTCTGTAAACTTTGTAAGGGGAGGGGTTTTTAATCTTTTTTTTTTTTTTTTTTTATTTCTTTTTTTTTTTTTTTTTAAACATTGGTGTATTTCCAGCATCTGCAAAAGTGTTTGCCACATAGTAGGTGCTCAATAAGTATCTGTTGAATTTAAGAATGAATGTAGCATAATGTCCTCTTATAATAGGACAGGAAAATGAAGCTTAAAGAAAGGAAACAACTTTCCCACAATAATTTGACAATAAAGACAGAGAATTCAGTTTACTTGCTTCCTTTCAGAGAATAATACCATCTGCATGTCAATTAGTCACGTTAAGTTTTACCTGTATCATATTAGAAAACTTTACTATTTGTCTTTTTTCTCATTTACTTTTCAAACTGGCCCATGGCCATTGTGTTCCACCCATCCATTTCCAGCATTTAGAAATCATTTTCATTTTAACCTGAGTAACAATGCAGCAAGAAGGCATATTTGATGTTGAAGGAAATCAGATTACCTTCTGAGACTACATGTATTACAAGAAATTGGGTTCATACTTGGTGACTTTGAAAAATTTGCCATCTTCTCACATAACATAAATGCCTAACATTTTTTGGCATTTAATTACATTTCTTGTGAAATTTCTGCTGTTGAATTTTTACTATGTTTTAGAATTTTTTTTTGTTTTGAGGTGAAATTTCACTGTGTTGCCTGGGCTGCTCTTGAACTCCTGGCCTTAAGTTGTCCTCTCACCTGAGCCTCCTGAGTAACTGGGATTATAGGCACGTACCACCATGCACAGTTTGTGTTTTAGATTTTGTCAAATGCCTTTCCTGTATCTGTTTCGATGAATGTATGCTTTTTCTCTTCTGTTATGGTAAAATACATAGGTTGATTTTTGAAAGTTAACTCAACTTTGCATTCCTGGGGAAAGCCCTCTTGATCATGGTGAATTACTTTTTAATACATGTTACTGGATTTAATTTGTTAAAAAATTTTAAAGGAATTGTGCATATATATTTATAAAGAATATTGGTCTGTAGTTTGTTTTCTTTCTTTCTGTCTTTTTTTTTTTTTTTTTTTTT